GGGGGGGGGGGGAAAGCTACGATTCAGAGTCCTTGTAAAAAATGTCACCTGCATGTTCTGTTAATTATCCTGACAGCCCCGTGAGAGAGGGACTATTTTCTTTTTAGTTTATTCTGAAATAACGTTAGGCTGACAAAAAAGTTGCAGAAATAGTACCGAGTTCCTAGATGCCCTCCACCCAGCTTCCCCTCGTGTGAACATCTTAGGTAACCATGGTTCCATCAGAAAATAAGCATCAATACAATCCTGTTATGTAATGTGTAGAGGCCATTTCTCTGGTCCAGGATTGTAATGCACGAACCTGTCCCTCCAAAATTCATATGGTGAAAGCTGATGCCCAGGGTGACGGTGCCAGGAGGTGGGGCCTCCGGGAGGAGGTTAGGTCAAGAGGGTGGAGCCCCCGGGATGTGATGAGCACCCCCACAAGAGACGCCCCAGAGAGCGCCCTGCCCCTTGCGCCCTGGGAGGACCGAGGACCCTGAGAATATGAGCACTGAGCTGCCTCCGAACCAGGAGGTGGGCCTCACCTGACGCCAAATCTACCGTTGCCTTGATCTTGAACTTCCGGCCTCCAGAACCCTGAGAGATAAGCATGTGTTTCTTTATAGGCCGCCAGATTGCGGTGTGTTTGTTGGAACAGACTGAACTAAGACAAGGAGCCAATCCAGGAGCCCGCATCGTGTTTTGTTGTCCTGGTCTCCCCATCCTGTGATGGTTCCTCAGCCTTTTTTTTTTTTTTTTTTTTTTTTTTTTTTAGGAGTACTGCCCAGTTACCTTGTGGAATGGCCCTCAGCTTCGGATTCTGTCTGACATTTGCTTATAATTAGATTGAAGTCATGCATGTGGGGCAGGAAGGCTAGAGGCGCCACTGAAAATGCCCTTCTCGGTGCACCCTGTGAGCGGCTCCACGTTGCGGCCTCACTGGCGCCCTTAACTTAGATCACTGGGCTAAAGACGTGTCTTCGTTGTAAAATTACTACTTTTCCCTTTATAACGAATAACTATCTTGGGGGAAAGTACTTTGAGGCTACAGAAATAACCCGTTTCTCATCTTTTCCCCCACTAATTGTTAGATCTGTTAACCTTAAAAAATAAAACTGACAGTTATTTTACCAGTAAAAACAGGAATGGCAGAGCACTGCAACCTGGGACAGGCGAACTAAGGACGGCAAAACCATTGGGAAATCTGCAGAACAAGGGAGAGGGATATTATCTTACAGAAGAAAGAGGAACTTGCAAGGGGCTCTTCTAAACAAAAAGTCGGCTGCCCTACCTCGGCGGTGCCAGGTGTGGTGGCTTCTCATTGGCTGGGCTGTGGCTGCCTCTCACTGGCTGGGCTGTGGCTGCCTCTCATTGGCTGCGCTGTGGCTGCCTCTCATTGGCTGCGCTGTTGTGGGGCAAGGGAAAAACTTCCTCTTGCTGGGCCTGCGCAGTAGTGGCTAACACACTGTGGACTTGCGAGGCGCTGGACTTCCTATTGGGCCTGCAATTGACCAGAAGTCCTAGGGTGCAGAGCTTTCCCTGCCGGCCTCCCCATTCCATTCTAAATGAGGTTTCCCGTTATTGAACTTCAGATCCACCCAGGGATCTTGGCTGCAACAATTATAAGGTATTTACCCAATGGCCATCGTCCATTGCCCTCATTCCGTCTACATGTACGAACTGGAAGAGCTGTAAGGTCAGTCGCAAGGCTAGGAATGGAGGCAGGAAGGCAGTCTATGGCCACTCCCCCCCCGGAGACGCCCCCTGGAAGCCTAAGCCCCGCCCCAACATGGCGGTCAGAACCGGGGAAGGGGCGGGGCGCGCCTGGTCACGTGCCCGCGCCGCCGCCGACGTGGCCTCCAGCGGTCGCCCCACGTGTCCCTTGCCGCGTCCCGTCGCCACCCTGCCCTGCGGATCCGATCCCAACATGGCGGCGCCCAGCAAAAGGAGGAACGGCGAAGGCGCGAGCTGGTGGGCTGCGTTGCTCCTGGCGGCTGTGGCGTTGAGGCCGGGGGAGGCGGTGTCCGAGCCCACGACGGTGGCGTTCGACGTGCGACCTGGCGGCGTCGTGCACTCTTTCTCCCAGAACGCGGGCCCGGGGGTACGTATCGCCGCCGCCCCGGGGGCTTGAGCGGTGGCGCCGGTGGGGGCGGGTCCTGAGAAGGGGGCCTGGACCGTCAGGGGCGGGGCCTGGCTTGGGAAGGGACTCTGGGGGTGCGGTCATCACGGAGATAGGGTTGAATTTACGCGGAGCGGGACTTCCTGGGGTCTGGCGACTTGGAGGGGGTGGGTCACTAGCCTCGGTCCCTGTTTCCTCTCGCGTGCCTCGCGTGCGCAAGCGGCCCTAACTCCCAGACCGGGCGAGTCCCCGGCCACTGGAGGGCAGAGCCGGCCCAGAAGTGGGGGGAGAGGAGGCCGGGGGGG